TGGCGAACAATCTAGTTCCTGCTGCTAATGTAGAATTGGTTACGTTCGGTCAGCCTCGCACTGGTAACAAAGATTTTTCCGCTGCACACGACAAGCAGGTCACCTTCGTTATTTTATAGGAAATCTGCTTTTGTACTGTTTCTTCATCGGTGACTGTTAAAACATGAGGAAAAGTTCCCAACTCTTTGTTAGAACCTTATATCTGCAAATTACAGATGGCTTACTCTTTCCGCGTAACTCATTCACGTGACATAGTTCCGCACGTACCTCCAGAGAATCTAGAAGGCTACTATCATCACAAATATGAGGTTTTATTATATTCTGATTGTGCTAATTTTGCTCTTTCACAGCAAGCAGTACATGCGCCCGATTAGGCGATTACTTAGTGCAAAGAACGGAAAATTTTTATCAGTATTAGCGCGCGGTAGCTTTATCACAATGATGCATTTAAGAATCGACAGCTACACTCCGTAGAGACCGAGCGGTCAGGTGATACAAAAGCATCGGCTGTTTGCAACATATCACCTGATCTTGTTAGATTTCCTTGAAGCAAACAACTGGATTTTGATTCTGAAGGTGTTATAAGCCATTGCTGATACCGGAATGTGACAGAATTTTTTCGACTGTATCAGAAGTTGAGAAAAAGCAACACTTCGCACAATTTCATTCAAATATTTCCTGCACAGTTAGTCTTCAGGACATGCTCAATACAAGTACACTGTTGCTCATCTTCTTCATAAAAGGGGAAGTCATTTTTGGGTTTTCGTAATTGTACGGTTATGCAGATTATCACTGCAAATATTGAAGAGGGCTTCTCTCCGTTCAACAGCGTTGTTTCATCTTCCAAAAACTATTTCAAAATGCTGCTGGAACTTGTAAAACGTGAATGTTTGCAAATTTCACCAGATCTAAATTTTCGTTCTTTGCACTAAGTAACGATTTCAAAATTCAACAAGTTTTTAAGCGATATTTCCTGCATTCAGGTGTTCTACCACAATGATATGAAGCCTGGAGCGAGTTTCAAAGTCTGTTCTGGTAGGTTGCACCTTATGTTCTTTTCAAATTCTCAAGAAGCTCTCATCTGCTAAATTCATAATTCAGCCGACGAAGATAAGGGATGCAGTGACGGCCTCGATATCACCACTTCAATTTCTGAACACTTACATTATTTTAATGTTGATGTTAGTGGATATGGTGAGAATGGATGCAAGTAGAATGTATGTTTCAAATAAATATCATGCTTGCGAATTTTAATTTCCATATGCTTAAGGAAGGATAGGATGTAATTATATCAAAATCGATTGTAACTTCCTTGATAAAAGGAAAATTGTTTGAGAACCCGTGTGTATTACTCATAGGTCGAACAGCTAAATGAGCGATCCTGTTATTTGATGCTACCTACGTATTTCCTTATCATCAAAGTCGGAGAGATGGGTATGAAAATTTTTATGAACATTTGAGTCCTGTTATTTGGTGTGTAATCGAAGGGTAAGTAAAGCAGCAT